AGAAGAAGAAGAAGAAGAAGAAGAAGAAGAAGAAGAAGAAGAAGAAGAAGAAGAAGAAGAAGAAGAAGAAGAAGAAGAAGAAGAAGAAGAAGAAGAAGAAGCTCACCGGCTGCAACCGTCTCTTGCACTCCGGTTCCAGTGAGCCACCCTTGATGGAAATCTCCTCGGGCGCACTCTCCGCAACATCGGATATCGGGCTCCCACAGACCCCGCAAAAGCTGCGATGCACGGCAAGGCCTGAGCTGCCCACATTGATGAAAGTGCAAAGCGGACCCTGGATATGCACCGTATCCTTAGGGAATGTCAAGATTAGGACTGCAGGGGGGAGGTCATAAGAAGGATAGCTATAATCCATGATGGCAGCAGAACTGACCGTATGTGGACCCGGTGTTGCGCTCAGTTATCGCAGTGGCAGTAGACCACGAGAGGGGAGGCCGTGTTGACGATGTAGGTTACTGCACGGCAGAGGCAGTGGCCGGAGAAAGTCATTGTTCAGTGTTCAGCGTTGAATTTGCCCGCCCTGGAGGACTGCAGGGCTATCATGAATCTATAAATCTACACTGTACATACGCATGGCATGGACACTAAACCGGAACAGGCAGCCAAGGCGCAAGATTCGGGATTCCCCACCGCAACATTCATTATTGATTCAAGCTGTGGCACAACTCTCTTCGAACTCTCATCAGGAGATTCCCTCCCGAAACATCACACATCTTCTTACCCAACCAGCCTTATCAAGCAAACCGACTGACCAGGGCTGGAGCTCGTGGATGCCCTACAAATCACCGGTGAAAATCCACTTCCACCCCCCAGAACTCCCCCCACAACATACCCCCATGCCGAGTGCATGCCACACCTGTCGCCGGCGTCGGGTAAAATGTGACTTTCGAACCCCAAAGTGTGGCCGGTGCGAAAAGTCGGGGGTGGAATGTCTTGGCTATGGCAAGCTGATCACCTGGGTGCAAGGTGTAGCGAGTAGAGGGAAGATGATGGGGAAGTCTTTCGAGCCTGCATCAGCACCCTCCGTGTCCCGGAGCACGAAAATGCGTATCCAGGTGCAAAGAGCCCTGATGGATCCCTTCCTACAGGACCTCAGTTCCGAGGCTCGCCATCACTTGAATCATTTCTACTCCCGTGTCTGGGAGGATCTGGTCATCTATCACCTGCCCATGCAGACTTGGAATCCGTGCAGCGAACTCTACTGGCGCTCCCAGACTTGTCCTGCCATGTTCCATGTAATTATGGCCATGGCTGCCTATCATCGGTATAACCTCATTGCCTCCAAGGAGCGTGCGCAGAGCATCCTGGTCGATGCACTCCAGTGGAAACAGGGTGCCCTGATCCGATTTCGGACAATGTTCAGCCAAGTCCAATCAACAACGTGTGTTCAGGTGCTGGTGTGCTCGATGTTGCTGGCCAATTTCGATCTTCTCGAGTCTGGCAGGGATACATGGCAGCTGCATCTGGATTCAGCAGTACGTCTGATCAGTCTTATGGGTCCTTCAATTCGTTCCTTGGCGGGCAGACCAGAAAATGGGGGAAACTTGTTCGACCAGTGGGTCATATCCAGTATTCTCATGTAAGCCCTCAAACCTTCAGGCAAACTTGCACGGTCACCTAATCGGAACGATAGCCAGAGTATCTTTGGCTTGACCTTCTCCCCAAGCGTAGGACATCACCATCTGTCTACACTCAACAATCCTACCGTGAGGGTGCTTGACTCCCTAGTTTTCGCCGAGAATAATCATTTCCTCTCTTGTCCGGCCGAGCTAGCGAGCTGTATTGTCCTAGCGTTTCAGACACAAGAAGACTCCCAAATCCCGAGCAGAGACGCCTGCCAAGAGCTATACGAGTCCGTTCAACAGTTTGACCCAGCGGCATGGGCCACTGCTATGCAGTGTTGGACTCCAGTCAATGACTACCCCGAGCGATTGCATATCGGATCAGCGTACAAGACGGCCGTGGTTCTCTACCTCTCACGGATGCTACCTAATTTCTCCCCCGGCGGTTGTACACCCGAGCGGCAGACTGGACTAGTGCAGGCCATTATCGGTCATATCTCGCAAGTTCCGCCCTCCAGCGCATTATTCAAGTCCACTATCTGGTCGTCTTTTGTCGCCGGGGCGGAGGCCACCGATCCTCATCACCGAGAGTGGGTTGCCGCCCATCTCGACGCCATCTCGGCGCAGATTCCCTGGAATACGACAGTCACTGCGACGGAAGCGCTAAGAGAGGTCTGGAGGCGGGTTGACCTGCCACTGGCAGAGCCATTGTCAGCTCCAAGGAACTGGATCCAGGAGTTCCGGCGCTTGAAGGTGGCTGTCTTTCCAGCATGAACATTATGACAGTATGAACACCAAATCAGCTTACATAAGCACCGAGCATTGTCGGCTCAGAATCCGTGCCTCAGGCACCAAATCCAGCCCTCCTCGATGACATCACCACTTGCTCTTTCGTATTGCATCTCCATCGCTTCATCTTTCAACAGACTGTACTTACTGTACATTCATCCCACATGGTCTGACTTGAACCTTCCAACGGCCTTTCTCAGATACCATGACCGGCCACATCGTCGACACGGTCAGGGAGGACCATAACGAGATCCAAGCTTGCTATGGCCGCATCGTGAGCTCGGCCGATCGACAAGAGCAGATCCGCTTCCAGAATCTTTTCACCTGGGCGCTGGCACGCAACACCGTCGGCAAAGAGCTCGTCGTCTACCCTGCCTATGAGAAACACCTTTCGGCCGGGGCGGCGACAGCAGAGAAACGCCGCAAGCAGAATCACGCCGTGAGTAACCCGCCAGATGGTGCGCGGAGTGCGCGGAGACCATGATTGACAGCCCGGCTAGGTCAAAGAGCATCTGAAGAAATTCCAGACCCTGGATCCGATCAACCCCACTTTCATCCCCACTATCAAGGGTCTGATGGAAGTGTTGAGTCCGCAGATGCGGGAAGAGGAGAACAGCGACCTGGTCGATCTCGAGCAGGTCCTGTCCGATCACGACAGCATCAGCCTGTCCAAGTCCTTCAACCGGACCAAGATCTTCATGCCGTCGCGGGCGCATCCCAGTGCCCCCAGTAAGCCACCGTTTGAGACGGTCGTTGGGCTGTTGACGGCGCCGATTGATCAGTTGGGGGATCTGTTTCGGAAGTGGCCTCATGAGAAAGATGTTCAAACGTGATCAGTTGATTGTCTACTTTAACGCTTCTGTCCTTTCAATTCAGCTCCGGTTCCCATTTTGGGATCAGTGTTTCTGGGGGGGGGGGGGAATATTCTACTAATACTCGGTCGCTAGCTCATAATGGATAATGTATGCACTATACGTAACTCAGACTGCTACCACACTTTCTCTCTCGAAACGTAAGCCCATCGAACCCCCGTCTCTGGACCCCTAGTGAGACCGCCAGAAACCCCTCCCCCACCGAAAGAGAAGAATACACCGGCCCACCAGACGCCCGAACGCGAGCGGAATCCCGAACTTGAACCAGGTGGCCGGCTGCCACAAGGCAGCGCCGGGCACGGCAATCACGGCGCCACGCGCCGTTGACGGCGCCTCATCCCTGACCGTAACCGACACCCCCGCGAACGCCTCGACAGCCTCCAGTATGATCGCGACCGTCGCCTCGGGCTGGCTCAGAAACGGGGAATGGCTCGTCCGCAGCTCGCGGTGCTCGACGCGCGCCCCCATTGCGCGCGCCATGCCCACCTGCATGCGCTGCGCCACCACGGGCAGGCCGCGATCCTCGACGGTGCCGAGGTACCAGACGGGCACGTCCTGCCACCCGGCATAGGCAAACTCCCCGCCCTCGAACAGAGCCTTCAGACTCTGCGTTGTCAGCTGCGACACCCAGACCTCCGCCTCCTCGGGCGGGAGGTCGTGGTAGAAGAGCTCGCGTGGTGGGGTGACCAGCTCCGCGTAGCCGGTCTCGCGGTTCACCCGCCACGACGGGGGTGGGTGGCCGAAGAACGGGTCCATGAAGGCCAGCCCGGTCAAGGTGAATCCGGAGGCAATCAGGATGAGGCCGATGACGGACCCCGAGGTCGGCGAGTCGGATTGCGTACCGGTAAACCCTTTGATGGCGCTGTTGCCGACCATGCCCCCGTAGGAGTGGGCGACAACGACCACGTTGCGGCCCTGGGCGGTTTCGTGGGTGATGGCGGCGCGGGCGGCGTCGAGGTCGTCCTTGAAGGTTGCATTGGGGTTGCCGGTGGTGGAGGGAAGGGTGATAGAGACGCAGTTGAGCTGATATTCGCCCTGGAGGAGTTGGATGATGGGGTCGTAGCAGGTGGGTTGATGCCAGGAGCCGGGGATGAGGACTAGGGTTGGGGTTGGGAGGTTGACCATTGTTGAGGAGCCGTAACTTGTGCTAGATGACAGTGCTCTATGATCTAACTTATTATTTAGATCGTATGATAACTATACGATATATGAGAAAGATGTATGAAGATGTATGATAAATGATAGATGATTTGTGATAAAATGATCTGGACGTTACCACCAAAATTACTGGCTGTGGCAATTCCCGGCGGGGTGAGTTGAAAATCCTTATATAAGATACTTATCATTTTGACCTTACGGGTACAGTACAGATCCACCCTATGAGTTACTTAGTTTGGACAGTATCATGACCCCATTTCCCTTGCAACACATCAACTCCACTAGAATTCGGATTGAGCCTGGAAGATTCATGATGAAAATGGATCGACTGAGCCTGTAAAGCAACTGGACTTGGTATTACATCATGTGATCGATATTTCCACCGTGGCCTGAGGCAGCAATACCTGGATAAGCCTTAGGTAAGCATCAGCCCTTTCCCAAACGGGTTGTCCTAACAAAGGTTGCTGTATTTAGACGAGCAGCAGAATAATGAAATAATGAAAGAATCTCAATCCACAGCGATTCACAGTGAACAATGAAGAAAATACAGATGCAGAAGCAGAAGAAAAAAAGGGAAAGAAAAGACCGAAGAAAAGAAAAGAAACAATCAAAGCACTAATCAAGGAAGAACGGGCAGTAGCACCCCTACAGTGAGTATATAGAAGCTTTGTTGTTGCCCAGTGGAGATTAAAGTGTACAGTGAACCGAAACCACATACCAGCCTCGACGACTAGATAAACGATGCGGGATCTTACTTCTTTGCCGATAGAACTGCTGCTTGTGATTCTAGACAGATTTGAGTATGCCTCGGACGTCAACGCCCTGGCGCAAACCTGTCGCCGGTTCCACGACCTCGCCAATAGTCGATACCTCTATTCCTATTTCGCCCAGACATGTTCCCCACAGGGTCTTCAGAGAATCGCGGATATATGTAATCGTGAGTCTTTGCGCAAAATGCTTGAGAGCCAGGTGGACATAGACCAGTTCTACACCGGTTCCGAGGAGGACCATACTTTGAGGGACTTTACATCCCTCCTACTCAATTACTGTGAGCCGGCTTTTCTTCTGGATTTCACAAATGGTCGGAAGCAGCTCTTTCAAGTGGCGCTCCGCGAAGGTCATTTGGAGTTTCTCAAAGCCTGGCTTGCAGATGCTCTCGCCCGGCCGAGCTCCACGAGCCAGCCGCTTGGGAAGTTGATGCAACGGGTTGCAGCAGAGGGTACCCTTCCCTTCCTGCAGTACCTGCTTGAAACCGGCTTCAGGGACACCGATCCGTCCTCTGCTCCCTTGTCTCATGCGGCCAAGCGGGGGGACATGGAGATGGTTGAGACCCTCCTTGAAGCTGGGACGGATGCCAATCAGGTTCACGTTGAGGCTAGGCCACCAGGGCAACCGCTCACCGCAATCCAAATGGCCGCCTCACACGGTCACCACGAGATTGTCCGGCGTCTAATGCGCGAGGTGGGAAGAAGACGCCATTACCATGCTCGCGAGATGTACGATCTTGTCTCTCGGGGAGGAGGACAGAAACAAGCGGCGGTACTAATGATGGACGGGCTCGGCAAGCGACTAGAGGCTTTGCAGCCACCTCTCTCCGATCAGGCACGCAGCTATTTCATAGTGTGTGGGGCGGCAGCGGGCGATGAAGGGGTCATCCGGTGCTTGCTGCAGATGACAGACCACAGGGAATCCATTTGGCGTCGTGAGGATACCTATTGGGCGCTGCAACACGCGGCGATATCTGGCCACATCGAGGTGGTCAAATTGCTGCTAGACGAGGTCACGGAAGTAGTGCCCACACAGCTCTTTCAGGCCTGCGCCTTTGCTGCAAGAGGTGCTATCGAGAGCCAAGACGTCGGACTCCCCATTTTGGTTGAGCTATTGGATCGTGGGGGTGAGGACTTTATCGAGGATTATGGACTTACCATGCTGTATGCTTCGCTCACGACCGGCAACAAGGAAGCATGCAAGCTCCTAGTAGAGCGAAATGCGCTCCTCAACTGCAGGTGGAAGTTGAAACACTTTATCCGTGAACCTATCCTTAGAGCGGCCATGCAGGCGGGGCAATTGTCTCTGTTCTGGCAGGCTCTCAAGCACGCCCATATTTGGCCGGCTGTCGGTGAGGACCGCAGATCGAAGACAGTCGAGATACTGGGTCTCGCGGCGTATCGCGGCTCCGTCGACACCTTCAAGCAAGTCCTCAGTCATTGTGCGGTGTTTTTGGACCCCAAAGATCCTGCATATGACACTGTTCTCGTGTCGGCAGTCCTGGGCAGGCACCCAGAGACAGTCCAGCTATTTCTTGAAGCCGGGTTTGAAGTCAACGGTCTCTATCCCCGAACGCATGGAAAGTCAGCGAGCCTACTATATCTCGCCATTCGAAATCCTCCGTTTGGGGGCGTGCCTTCGAAGGAAGAATCGGTCACACTCGCCCGGCTCTTGCTAAGACACGGGGCCAATGTTAACCTCCTGAGCTGGAAAGGGGATACCGCGCTCGCGTGCGCGATGGAACAACGGTCAGAAGAGCTGGTTGAGCTTCTACTCGAGACAAATGACATCGACCCTTTACTACAGGGAGGGTACCGATTGAGCGCAGTGCAACGGGCGCTCGTAGCCTACCCAGCCAATCCGAAGTATTTGAGACTACTATTGACCAAGGTGTCAATCCACGATCCCCGACTACAAGATCTGACCCATCGACTTGGGGCACGAGCCCAGGTCTGGCTCGAGACTCCACCGAGCTCCGACTTGCGAGATGAACTTCAGCGCTGGCGCGCAATCTGGCTAGACGCAGAGAAGAGCGAAGAAGATAGTGTGGAGCAGTCCGACAGTACCCCCAAGCCCCTACAGGCAATGCCTCGAAATAACCTATGGTGGACGCAGTTTCTGGCCCTCAAGGAGATGAGGTGCTACTACTGGCGTGCCATTAGCCCTGTTCCAGATTTGTGAGCGCCTGCTAGCATGAGAAGTCCGCTTTCCTAGACTGTATCTGTGTACCTACTACCTCATTACCTCAATATGATGCTTTTGCCTTGAATCCACCGTCCCTTACCCCTCATCTCCGCTTTCCTTCTCTTTCCATGATTGAGGAAAAGATGTGCATATGCACCACCCCCTCCCTCGGCGGAGTACCTTTGGGCATATTCTCCATCACCAACCACTCTTACTCCAAGGCAAACCAAATAGCTTGCCTGCATGCGGGGTTGTGAGACCAGCTGGAGACTTATGCTGGACTATTGCTCGAGTGGAGAACGCTAATGCAGGCAGGCAAGGGCCGTGGCGGCCCGCTTCACGGAGCATCGTCCATAAAGAGCCCAAGCCCAGACCAGCCCAATTTCGGGAACCATCCGGAAAATCGGTCGATCACCCCCCTCACTAACAGGCTTGTCTGATTGTTTTCCTGTTTTTGGGTGGTCCAGAGGAGTGTATTGTGGAGGAAAGATAATTTGTGCTACCCTCGTTCCCCTCATCCGAGCGGTTTTGCAAGACACCCTAACCTGTTTGCTCACCTATCCCACTGCAGAGTGACGTCTCGAACTACTACATCAGGCGGAGTACAGTCAATACTTACCATGATGTTTGATCCCTCGGTCACGCCATTCTGATCCATCTATCTTTGCGGGCCAGGACTTCTCCCAGTCAACGGAAGGATATAGATGGCCCCCCTATAAAGCTGCCCTCATCCCCCCCAGACTCAAGACTCAAGAACTTGTCTTCAACCACCAGCATCAGATCCAGACTCAATTGACAGCGAAAGTCACAGCAAAGCCTTCCCCTCCAAGATGAGCTCTTTGTTGAAGAACCCAGTCCAAGAGGCAGTCCAAGGCGCAGCCACAGAAGCCGTACAAGACACAGCAGCTACTGTGATTGATATCAGCAAGGCGGTGGAGCAACTCCTGAACGGTACGATCTCTCCGCTTGGCAAGCTTAGGGCATTGATCCGACAGACCTCGCAAGTCCTGACCTCTATCAGGTCTTGCCAGTCAGCCACAACAGGTCCTCCATGTCTATTCGTACAGTGATCAAACCAGAGCCATCGAGGAGAAATCATGCATCTCGTTCAAGAGTCTAGACGTGAACAAAATCAAATTGTCTGATATTCGGGACCTCCTGGTAAGTGAAAAGGTCTTGGAGCCGACCTTGTAAGTGCCCGCACCCAGACAAAGTCAACAACATCCATTCACCTTCGTCCTACAGGCTCTGGAGCTCCTTCTGCAATCAGCGTGGGGCCAAGGTCTTGGATTCCACCGACTACAATGCGTATCTTGCGATCCTGAACGAGAAAGTGAGTAGCCCCCTTCCTCCGGTGCCCACGCAATCTTTAACTTACCCGGGGTATAGTCGAGCGAGGCTGGAGTATGTTCCAGCCGACGTAGCCTTGCCATGTTCGTATACTGATCTCTAGCAAGGACATTGCGGAAGACAACAGCGATGCCTATCGAGTCTATCTCAAGTCGGAGAAGCTCCTTGACTATGAATACGCGCGTAGCCTCTTTGATCGCGGTGTGAGAGCTAGCATCGATGTGAGTCCATCGGCAACATACCTTACCGCGTCATGGTTGACCCTTTCATCAGAAGAAGACTCCTGACCTGCCCGTGGCTTCGAAGCCCAAGGCTGCCGAGCTGCCCACCAGCTTCAGCCACAATATCTTCCTGAACCCCACAACTACCTTCTCCATCGTGTAAGATGACCTACCCAAGGTATGCGCTTGCGCTTACTCATGGCCGCGCTGTCAGTCATCCTGCGGATATGTCGGAGACGCAGTGGAATGTCGTCCTGCGCAACAATGCCTTGCTGAACGCCTATCGAGTGGTCGACGCGGGCAAGACGATTGGGAAGATAGTGGAGCGCTCCATGCATCCAGGTAGCACGATCGAGTCTCTCCTACCCGATCCCTGTCTTATGTACTGATGATATTTCCAAGCCTTTGCTCTCAAGACACGCTTGTTCCAGAACTACGAGATTTCGGCCAGTGCGGCCTCGGATTCGATTGCCAAGAAGGAGGTAGGTCATACTTGAGCTGGCATGGGTGCATTTCACTGACTCCCCATGACCAGCAAATGCTGAGAGTCCCTCGGTATCGGATCGAGGACGACTCCTACATAGAACAGTTTGAGAAGACCAGCTCGGTCTCGCGGGCAATTGCCCAGAGCTCCTTGTCTCAGCTTGCAGCTGAATTGGCTATGTATGCCTTGCCCACATCTCTACGCTCATTCGTGCGATACTGACGCAACACGTCCACAGAGAGGGCGGTGCGTTCGGGTTCAGTGCCAGTGCCTCCGCTAGCTATGGGGAAGATAAGTCCTCTTCTAGCTCTGCGAGCTCAAGTGAGGACAGTCGAGTCATGACTATTACCTACAACGTACGTAACCTTGCATTTCCATGGGGCGTGACCATGAAAATCTTGCTCATCCTGCTGCCCTTGGACAGTTCCCTCGCGTGGTTCTCGAACTCGACGCCTCGAGCCTCGAGCTTTCCGAGGAGTGCAAATTCGACTTGGCAACCGTGAGCACTGCCGCCGACATCGACAGCTTCAAAAACAAGTATGGCCGCTTCTATCCCACCCGCATCGAGCTGGGAGGAAGACTGCACTCCTCGGAGAAATCGAGCTCCACCAGCACCGCCGACAAAGATGAACAAGCGAAGTCCATGCGAGCCGCCGCGGCCCTCTCCTTTTCGTCTCCGTACGTGCAGGCCTCGGCCAAAGTAAGCTACGGTCAATCCTCGGATTCGAGCTCGCAGAACTCGGCTGCCTCGGCCACCAAGTCCATCTCTTGGGAGGCCAAGGGCGGAGATACTCTGCTTTGTAATGAGTGCGTTGCTTCTACTCTTCGCCCTCCCTCTTCGCTCATTCGGGGCTCGAATCGCTAATTCACACGCGCCCCATACAGTCCCCCAGCGTGGGCCTATACCGTTGGTTCCTTCTACAATTGGCGAGCTGTCAAGGTCGGTAGTCCAAGTCCTTTCCACTATGAGACGAGTCTCTCTAACATTCTGAGCACAGCAATCCCGGGTGCTTGCCCTCGAGGATGTGATTGCCAGCATCCCAGGGTACCAGGACATCAAGCAGAAATTCGCGGACATTCTCCGCACGGGCAGTCAAACCAAACCGACCAGCTCTGAGGTCGTGGTCAAGTTCAAGTTAATTCACTGCTGGCATGGGAAGACGGTCGCCATCAAGTCAAGCCAACAGGGACCGCGGTACCGTATGTTGCAAAATTCCTCTTTCTCACCATCCTATTGGATATTCGGATTTCTGGGCTAATATACACTTGATGCGTGGCAACGTTCACAGGGGAGGAGATTTTCAAGCTCACCAAGACCAACGTGATCACCGAAGAACGCCGGAGATACCTGAACGAGCTCTCTGAGGCCGTTGCCGAGGGAGTCCCGCTGGAGGTGCAGACGGACAGCAGCTCCAACAACAATCAGAAGCTCTGCATCAACGTCAAAAGCACCGAGACCAACGGCAAGAATCAGATCAAGTATAACTACCCCTATCGTATCTACAACAGCGGAGACGGGGACGTCTGGCTTGGTGCCAGCCCCGTTCTCCAGGGCTATCTGAACACCTCCCTGATTTGGGCCGGCACGCGGGAGAATGCCACAACCTTCCAGTTTGCCAGCACCAAAGCAGGGAATGATTCTGAGTATGTGCAGGAGGAGGACGAGGTCTACATTGTCCTAAATGACAAGGAAGGTAACTCTATCAGGGCGGCGGCGTGGCTGCATAGTCCAGTGGGTTGCATTGGTACACATATCGACTCTTTCCAAGACCCTGAATATTACTGTTTCAGATTCAGCTACTTGAAGGGATGAGGCTGCAGGAAAAGATAGTGGAGGCGACGGCGGTGGGGTTTGTTTGCATCTTACCAGGGCTTCCAGTCCATTTGCCCTTCGGCGTTCGGATGAATAGTTCAGTGCAATAGTATAAATGCCATTATGTCCCTTCCCTAAGACTGTAATTTCGACTTGAGACTGATACAGGATCCAGCACCCCTCCGTACTATACGTACGTACTATACAAACATCGGACCGAGATGAAAGCTCCACGGTTGGCCCACTTAGGGCAGGCCTGGACGTCTTAGTCCGAACGCCACCATGAATGGCCTCCACTCGCACCCACGCCCAGAGTCTAGATCCCCTAGGGCTCCCAGTATCTCGACATCTCATTCGTGGGCTCGTCTCGCACGAACTCTAAAAGTCGATCGATGCTACAGTGGGGGATGACAAGGCACCATATGGATCCAGGCACGGAGTACTCAGAGTACACTACGTAGCGTTTAAAAATTTGGAAATGCAGACCCATAAAGCATCCTATTCTTTCATTCATTTAAAGCTACCCCTGCAACACCTTAGCCACCACCTCATCTGCACACTCTTCTACCACCCCCAACAAGGGCGAGTCCGATTCCGACCACGAAGGCGCCACGACACACCGGGCCTGCCCTTCGTCGAACATCTGCGCGACCACCAACTCCAGCCTCCACATACCATTTCCCTCCTGAAACTTCCGGTGCCCAGTCTCCCTCAACCGCTGCGCTGAGTCGCGCTGCACCGTCCACTGCCGACCCGTACTAGCCCGCTGAAAGGCCTCCAGCAGCTCATTCTGATTCGTGACAATCGAGAGAACCTTGACGAAGCGGTTCGCCGTCTCCTCCGGATGCAGCAACACCCCAACCACTGCCTGCCCAATCCCCGCCAGAGTAGTACCGGAGAACCTTTCCGTGCCCGAATCGTAGATGATAGCCGCCGCGCGGGCGATGTCGAAGCCCATCATGGGGAATTTTTTCATAGCCTGTACCCCACCAAGGGCAATCATCAAGATTAGCATCTTACTCCTCCCATCCAACATTATGGATTCGGGGGGGGGGGGGGTTAACTGTACCCAATCAATCGGATTCCCCGTCGTGATCCCCGTAAACGTGAACCCGGGGTTCTCCCGTGCCTTTTGTTGCGCAAGATCCCACCCCACGCGGCGCTGCGCGTGGATGGCGCTGAACTCCGGCAGGCTATAGGGATTATGGCCCCAGCCGAAATCGTCGATGATGAACCGTTTCACCCCCGCGGCTGCAGCGGCTTCGACCATGGTGGCTTGCGCGGGGATGCCCCCGGGCCCGACGACGCAGATGGCGGCGTCTTGGCCGGTGAGAGCGGTGGTCAGGTCGGCGAGGGTGTAAGGGGTCCGGATGATGGGGAGACCCGGGGGGAATGTGGAGGTGGACTCGGGGCGGGTGATAATGGTGATGGCGAAGGTTTCGGCGCGTTGCAAGGCTGCTGTAATTGGGGTGCCAAAGTTGCCGGATGCCTGTGGGCGAGGTCAGTGATCGTGATCTGGGGACTGGAGGAGGATATGGAGAGTGGAGATGTAGACATACTCCGAAGATGGCGACTTTGTGAATGGTAGGCATAATTGCGGTGGGGGGTGAGGTTGGACGGTACGGTTGTGGTTGTTGTTGTTATTAGGGTTAATGTTGTCAACGGGAGAACACTGGGCGGGTTGGTTGCACTTTATGTATAGCGAGAGGCTACAAGTTGGCCTAGTAACTACTAGTACCTAAATTAGTACCTAATACAGGACTGAGCTGACAGACAGCATTAGTAATTCAATAAGGCTGTGGACCTGTGGTTGACTCACTGAACCAGGTAGAGTCTATCCATGACTCAATCGAGGCATTTGCCTGGACTTGGACTAGGCAGGCGATATGCAGTTAAGGTACGGAGTACATACATTAATCACAGCTTGAATGTGGGAAAACCTCGTACTGTTAGCCCTGGGTCGCGTCCATGATATGCTTTCGAGTGGGTCTTCGAATGACTGTGACTGATGCTCTCGTATTACTCACCAGTGCCACTTGTGAGGCTCTCGCTAGTCGATTTACAGTATGAGCCAGAATAATGGTTCTAAAGTGTTTGTAATATCTTCATTGCACAGTCCTGAGAGACTTTGACATCAAGTGAGCATGCATTGTAGCATACATTGTAGCATACAAGGGCATACTCCGCCTTTTACAACTTAATCCACCGACCCATCCACTCATTCACAATCGACTTGGCCTCATCCACTAGTCCCAGATCCAGCAGCAATTGCGTCGTGCCACGGACAGCCGAGTCCAGGGCAGAAAAGATCCACGCATGGGTATAACTGGTGTGCTCTCCGATGAAGATCGTCTTGAATTCCGTCTGGTAGTAAGCCGGGAGGTACAACTCCTGCTGTCCGACCAACGGATCCGCCCATGCACCCGCCTGGTGCTGATCGACCTCCCAACACTGGCGGTCGTAGATGCCGGTGAATTGCTCTGCCGCGATCTCGCCGTGAACTTCCACCATCGTCCGCTGGACAAGCGCAACGTGCTCTTCCTCGCTTAGCGCCGCGGTGGAGCGCGCCTCCGTGCCGGAGATATACGAAGCCAGGATCACGCCTGGCCCGGTGCCGTTGAGGTTGTAGGACGGGTAGCAAACACTACCCACCCCGGCCACATCGACCGAGCCGCAGCCACCGTAGATGGGTTCATCCAGGTGCTCCCAGAAGCGAGTCTTGTAGAGCAGCGCCATCTTACAGGCCGGATCGTAGTTTAGTGTTGAGATGGCGCGGCTGAGCAACGAGGAATACCGCGGCAGTTCCCAAAGTCGCACTTTGCTGAACGGCGCGGCCACGACGGCGTAGTCATACTCCTTCGTCGTGGGCGTCATTGCGAACAGATCGTCCCGCCAGGAGACTCCGATCTTCCCGGAGGTTTCATTATACGTGAGTCCGCTGATCGTGCGGTTCAGGGTCAGTCGGTCCGAGACGTGCGGGTAAAAGGCGCGAGGCAGGGACTCGAGACCCTTGTCGATGGTGCGCCATTCCGTGGCGGCGAAGTACACGTCGTCATATAGGTCCCCCCAGATGGGAGAGTCGGTGGTCCCGGCAACATAATCGCTGATGTTGGCATTATATCCAAGAGCGTATTGCAGGTATCCGGCCTCCGACCAGTGAAACATGTTGTTGTCCACAGCCCAGCGGTGCATTTTGTACATGTTCGTGGCAATCTGAGCGATGGTCTCGCGCGAGTCAATCGTCGTATAATTGTCATAAGCGGCTTTTGCATCGGCAACAGCCGTAGCGTTGGACGAGGCAGCCGTGTAGACTAAGGATGAGTTGGCGGCGACGTCTGCGGCGGTGGGGATGCGGCCGTCCGGGAGACGGACACCTCCCGAGTCGGCGGGCACATTGGGGGTGCTCTGGTGCCAAGGAATGAAGTTGACCTGAAGCTCAGGCTCGTCGACGTTCATCTGGTTCAGGACCCCGGCCAGTTGAAACACCATCCGGTGGTCCATGATCTCAAGTGTCTCGTTCGTGTCGGAATAGGTAATGCTGACAGGAAATCGCATCGGGCCCATCTCCTGATACTGGTATTGGTCGGGGCGCGTGTTGTTGAGGTATTTGGTGCGAATGCGGCCGCCGATCCTGCCGGAGGACTCGAAAATGTGCCAGTCATGGATCCCGACCGAGTCGAGGAGCAAGCTTGTCATCAAGCCGGACATGCCACCTCCGAGGATAGCGACCGAGGTGTTCTTAGCTTTGGCCACCAACGATGCGTCTTCGGTCTTAGACTTCATGTATGCGACCCCGTCGAACCAAGGGCCCTCCATGTCGGCCACATCGGCGATGCTCTCTCGTTTGTCGACGCGCTTAGCAATTGAGACGGGCGCAGAGCGACCGACCAGAGAATTCCCCGAGAATGCATGCAGGCAGTGCAAATGAGGAGCATCGGACGGAGTGATCCAGACCAGTCGCCCGGGTCGGGCATCTCGTTGTACAAACACGCTGGTGATATCGTGGTGGCTCTGGGAGGGGTCGCGGAGGTTGCAGTCTCCATACACAACTCGCAGGGGCCCTGCAAATTCATGGTCGAGAAATTCCAGATGGATGTTGTGCAAGGAGTCCGCGGTGACGTCCACTAAGTCCCTGAATCGCACGAGGTCGTAATCGACCCCTGTCCGCGCAACCCCAGCATCACTGAGGCCCGCGACTGCTAAGCTTAGCAGCAATTGTCTGAGATATCTCTTCATCTTCCGTTGTGTCCAGTCAAACTATGGAGAGAGGTGTTGTGCTCTGCTGCTCGATTGCGATTGTCCCAACCCCAGCGCCTGGGGCTTTATACACCTTCCGCGGGCATGCACTGAGCTCGCTGCCACCGCCCGTTATCAGTTGAGCCTGTCCCTCTCAATCCGTGACACAACAAAACCGGACCTGTATCGCCAGACTTCGATTAAGGCGCGCCTTTGCCATGACATGGCCGTGTGGAGTTCAGTCCTCGTCTCGGTTCCTCTAAGCGAGGCCGCGGGTCACTCATTCTCCCGGTGTCGGGACTTCTCACTGGGAGACCGTTATCAATGCCTCCGCCTGGGCTTGCCAGTCGAGTGGAGAGGCGAGTAAGCCCCGCGCGGGGTAGGTTGAATTGGCGGGATGGGAGTTGTGTAGGATCATCCCTGACGTATCTGAGCGAGGGCGAGATAACGAGGGTGGGTTGGTGCCGCACTGCCGATATCTCCTCAGCTGGTGCGGTGCTTATCATGATTTGCTCTGGGGGTGCCAAGCACACGTGGTTCGAGATGCTCTTGGCAGGGAAGATAAGTAAAGAAAATCTCAGATAAAACACTGCAAGGAGTAGTTTAGACGAGGGGGTCTTATCATGGGGGGAAGAAAGAGGGAGAGAGAGTAGAGAAGACCCCGATGAAGGATGGAGGATGGAGAAGCGGAAGAGACCGGCAGAATTGGGGGATGGGGAATCAGTTCATGTGATCCAATGCAAGTTGTATGCGAATTATGTCCA